TGCTCCTAAGTGAAAGTTATAGAAACAAGACCGTGGTTTTAAACTACTCTTTATGGTCAGAACATGACAAACACTAAACGTTTTTCCTTAACAAGAGAAATATCTTAATAGAAAATATATATATTTTTTTAGTTTCTGCATGTTCTAATGAGTGATATTGTTTCAAATCATGAAACAGGTTTGTGTTCCTGACTTTGATGATGTGTATCTTCAGCAGTTTGCAGTGCAGGCTGCAATATTAATAGTATTAAATTTTTTTGTCTCATAGAAATGCACATTTGACAGAAGCTTGAGTTAGGATACAGATTTATGTTACATTTACATTTAGTCATTTAGCAGACGCTTTTATCCAAAGTGACTTACAAATGAGGACAATGGAAGCAATCAAAATCAGCAAGAGATCGTGCTGTAAACTAAAAACAATAGTCAGGCAGTTGGCACCCTCTGCAGGCATTTGATAATGCATAATGTACATAAGTTATGATTATATTGTTTTAATAGGGGTTCAAGCAGGTAGCGCTGAAACCCTATTCAAATTGTTAGAATGGCCAAGTATCAGCAATTTCCACGTAAATCTGATTGGGCAGACCAAACTGTAAGTTGTAGAGACTTTAGACTGGGAGGGATGGTAGTACTCGCTGTGTACAATGTCATCAAGGCTCACCCCAATCGGTCTGATGGGGGCGCTACAGCGATCAAAAGTACGAAATTGCTCATAACTCCTAAACTGTTAGACGCAGACTCAAGTGCCATATGTTGTTGGAATCCTTGGCTCATGACGGACAAAACTTGTTCAATTAAAGCCTTGGATTTAATTGTCACCCAAAATTTTCAGGGATGCTGGATTTTTTGAAAAACCTACCTTTGTGAACTAGTCCTAGGTATTTTGCCCGATCAGAACCAAACCAGTGCGGAAAGATTTTCTGGAGAGTGAATATCAATAATTATCAAAAAAAAGGGTTGAAATTTCGACTTCGACTCAACATTGAAAGGGATGACAAAATGTTCAAAAGGGGCAGGTCAACTTCTACTAAAACAGCTATAACTTTTGAACGGAATTGTCACGGTACCAAAATTTCAGTATTCGGTACCAATACCAGTGAAAATCCACGGTTCTCTGTACCAATTT